TGACAATAATCTGCAATCTGTATTAAACTGCATCAGCACAGCAGGCCTCAAGCTCAATATGTCTAAATGCAAATTTAGACAAACAGAACTCTCCTTTCTGGGGCATACAATTTCACCGGCTGGACTAAAACCTGATCCAGATCATATCCTAGCAATTTCAAATGCTCCTCCTCCAACTGATTTGCAAACCTTACGTTCCTTCTTGGGTGCAACCTCCTGGTATGCAAAATTCATTCCCAATTATGCTTCTGTCATTGAACCGTTACAAGAATTACAACAGAGAAGTTCAACCTTGGTGTGGACAATGGATGCACAAGCTAGTTTGGAAACTGTGAAAGACTTGATTGTACATAGTCCAGTACTTGCACTATTCAGTCCTGCATTGCCCACAATTGTGACTACTGATGCTTCTGATTATGGACTTGGGGCTGTCCTCACACAACTTCAGGAGGACAACACAGAGAGGACTGTTGCATTTGCTTCAAGGCCACTGAGTGATGCTGAAAGAAAATATTCTACAGTTGAAAAAGAAGCACTTGCTTGTGTCTGGGCTACTGAAAAATGGAGAACTTACCTGTGGGACCGCACGTTCAAGTTGCGCACAGACCACAGCCCTTTGACAACTTTGCTAAGCATGAAAGGACTGGGAAGAGCAGGGAATCATATTGTTAGATGGTCTGCAAGACTACTCTCTTTCAATTATGAACTGGAATATAAGCCTGGAAACCAAAATGTGATAGCTGATTGCCTTTCTCACCTGCCTTTGTCTTCATCAGATGGTCCACCACTGCACTCTTACTGCAGTAATGAGAGCAATTCCAAGCTGCTTGTTCAGCATGTCCAATTCAACAAAAGCTACGGAAATCTCTGACAAAGAGATGGCCCAGTAACCCTAAAAACCTTGACCCAGGTTTGCTGCCTTATTTTAGAATTCGGGATGAACTTTCTTTGCTTGATGGCTGGGTGCTACGAGGTACACACCTGCTACTTGTGCCAGAAGAATTACAGCCAAAACTCATGCAACTGTCACATGATACTCATCAAGGTATTGTCAGAACCAAACAACGACTATGAGATCTGTATTGGTGGCCAGGGATGGACTCTCACACTGAAGCAATCATAAAATCTGGTGTCACTTGCCAAATGCATGATAAGACAGCAGTGACATGTGTCCCACCATTACAGCCTGTTCCTCTTCCAGATTCTGCATTGGAAAAAGTTGTGATTGACATCGTAGGACCCTTTGATACTGCTCCAATTGACTGTCGTTATGCCATCACTTTAATAGACTATTTCAGTAAATGGCCTGAAGTGGCGTTTACATTGCATATTTCTTCTGCTACAGTAATTAAGTTTCTCTCTACAGTTTTTAGCAGCGAAGGTAACCCCAAAGAACTGGTTTCAGATAATGGTAGTCAATTTACTTCTGTGAAATTTGAAACTTTTGTAGTAGAGAGAAACATTTTACATAGAAGATCTAAAGTTTCCTCCTAGCCCTAATATTCAATCATTTGGTGCAATGGATTCTAGTCATACCATAAATGGTAGGCAGGTCTGCCAACCAGGGGAAGGGGGTGAAGAGGGAAGACAGAGGAAGGGATAAAGGGGGCATTTGCCCCAGGGTCTGGCAATACAAGGGATCTGGGGCAGCGGTGGCAGACAGAACTCTAGGCCCTTTAAATCACCATTACAGCATTGATCTGCACAGCTCTAAGGGATGGGGGGGGGCACCTCAATGCCATGCTCTCAGCACTGCCTAGGGCTGCTGCCCCACACCTGCTTCCTCTGTGATAGGCCCTGCCCCTTCCAGGAGTGCAGGGCTGGCCTCTCCTACCTTGTCCGGGGGACTGCAATCTTAAAATCATAGAGAAAGGACCTTACACCTACAGGCAGTTCCCGGGTTACGTACAAGATAGGGACTGTAGGTTTGTTCTTAAGTTGAATCTGTATGTAAGTCGGAACTGGCGTCCAGATTCAGACACTGCTGAAACTGACCGCCAGTTCTGACTTACATACAGAATCAACTTAAGAACCCCAGGCGTCCCCAAGTCAGCTGCTGCTGAAACTGATCAGCAGCTGATTCCAGGAAGCCCGGGGCAGAGCAACTCTGCCTGGGGCTTCCTGTAGTCAGCGCTGGTCAGTTTCAGCAGAAGCTGACTTGGGG